AATGAATCTGAAATATATGAAAGTTTCATTTTTATCATTACATTATGGAAAATAATGACCTTTATCACAATATGCTAATTTTTTGAGAAGGACCTGTATTACCATATCAGCTAGGGAATGAGTAAAAAGCCCAAAATATGGAGAAGGAAGCAAAAGTCTTTGTTCATGTAAGGCTAATGGCACAGATGTTGCTTGCTTAGGTAAACAACAACAAACTAAACCCTAAATGGTGTCATGCAAATGTGTAGTGGTTTAATATTCACTAACGTGACGTTCTTTCAAACCATAAAAAAAAAAAAGAGAAATCAAATTAGTATTTGTCTCCTTTATTAATGCATCATTTGGTTACAGACATATTTGTATGACAAAGCGGGACATAAGAAGTGTAACAAACAAACATGGCAACACACGATCTAAGTGTGATTAAGGAGGATGTCAGATTGTGTGGACACAAGAAATGACAAAGACAGTTTCCTACAGTTCAAGAGGAACCCGTTTTACTAGAGGAATAAAAGCTAAGAGACATAAAAATGATCAATTTAAACATATCCACAAAATGTCAGCAGCATAAAGTTTATATCTATAATCAATCTCAAGGCTTTCAACATTTTCTACTGTTTCATTTCAGCTGCCACCGAAGAAAATGACAATAAATGGAAACAAAAAATGACTGTATTTATTTTGGTTTTATGTCACATTGTAAAACATAGCCAGGGCAAATAAGTGGTACAACACATCTTTTATTAGTTTTACTTTTAAATAACTTGAAAAAGTGCAACAGTCATAAATATATCTAAAGGGCTGAATAGCCAAGGCTGAAGTAAATCCCTAATATTTTAAGTTGCTAACATTGCCTCTAAGCACTAGGCTTTCCAACAATTTTGCAACAAAGTGATTATTAAATTGTGATTATTTCACAGAGCACTTTGCATGTTTATTTACTTTTTAAGACAGCAATGACGTCAATTTACAGTAAGATAAGCAGATTATTCTTCCCTGTGAAAATGCCTGTCTTGATTATTTAAGGCTGCTCATTTAAACCAAGGACAACAGATTGTGATGAAGATTGGGCAGAGGTGACTGCCCACATTAACACATGCTGTGCCCATAGTGTTTTTTTTCAAATGCCAGGTTGTTTTAGTTCATACCCTGTGAGGGAGGCAAATAATGCTAAAATGAAGGCTGCCACAGTGTTTGACCATTAAACAGAGTCAAAGCTCTGTTCATCTGTTTCAGCACCAATAAAAGACCATTTTACACAAGTATAAAATGCCTCATAAAGAGCCAAAGACCCGGAAAATGCAAGACACACTCATTGTCTATCCTGGACAGCTCCTGCAATTTGAACTAATGCCGGGCTATTGAGCTTTTCATTGGGTTATTGAATTAAATTGCAAATAACAAGGTCTTAAAACTCTCCTTAGGTTCATTAGTGTAATATGGCAGTAATTCTTTTTATCGTGTGTTAATAAATAAAACAAAAATATACTGTTTAAATTCCAATTGCTTTGCACATTAATTTTCACTCCTTTCACATGAATAAAAACACTTGAAGTTAAAAAAAGTTCCATTTAAAACTCAAAACCCTTAAGTACTTCCAACCTCCAAGCTCCTCCTCCAACGTTTTATCCTAATAACTCCAATTCACTGCGTAAATGTATCATTACTGTATGATTATGGCTCTGGTATCCCCCAGCTTCCATTAACAGAGACTTAGGTACCATGTTATGTGGCTTCCTTAGTCCCATTATATTATTAAGTCATTATGAACTGGGGCAGAGAGAAAATAATACCCTTAATGGGAGCTACATTGGGAACTACTTAAGTTTATACTCTCCAACCTGCCTACTTCCCTGCTTGTTTGTCTGCCAGTAGTGTCAGGTTAGATATTATACTATCAGATTACCAGATCCTGAACAGAAGACGATTCACAGTTAAAATATTCAAGTTATTTTTCTTCCTTTTTTTTGTACACTGCATGATTTTTTTTTTAACAACTAATACTTACCCCAGAGTTAGGATACGCTGTCCAGCCCAATTCTGCTGTGGCCACCCGTGTGTCCATCAGCGTCTCTGCAGCAAAGAAAAGAAAAAGAAAAAAGGAAAGTTAGCTTCAAAATCTATTTTTAGTATCCATCCTTAGAGATGACACACATTCAAGGCCCAGTGATCACTTGACACTAGCATCTATGAGCAGAAAGGGGATGAAACCCCACAGTGATTCATCCGTCTCTGCTTCACTTCTGTTAAGACAGGAAACATGGAAACAAATCCTTGGCACTTTGCTGGAAGAAATGCCTGAGAGCCTCTGTCATGCTGTTAACTGTTGAGCTTTGTGCTGTGATCTCTCTGTGAACTTGACTCCAATATGCACAGACTAGCTTTGTTTGTGTGCACAAGTATGTATTTGAAATATGTGCCACCACTTCTAGAACCAAAATTATGGAATTTTGTGTTTTTCTTCATTTGGATGGGGAACAGCGCATGAATTTGCACATGGTTAAGTAAAGAAAAAATACTGGTAGCTTCACAAAAACGGGGAAAAATGGTTCTTAGAATGGAAATTCTCATAAATCTAGTATGTTGAAGGTACAGCGTTAGTCACTCACACACTTGTAAAAGGTAAATATAATTAGCATAAAAAGTAAGCAATTTTTTTTTTTTTTTTTTGTAAAAATACTTTTTGACAAAACTTTGTGTATGTGGATTGCACTTATGAAAAAAAAAAAACTTGACAAAGACAAACTGCTTATTCTGCTACGGATTCTTGTTTTGTGTTTGTTACTGGATTAGATTATAAAATGCCATCACACAGCAGTGTGTGACTAAGCCAGTGAGCAGCATGAGGAGGGGGTGCTTTTTGTTGTGGGTGTATAAGGTTCTTCCACATGTTACCAAGGCCTCTGTTTGTTAAAAGTATGAATTGCTAAGTTGCCAACATGTTTTATTAATTCAGACTTTAATAAGTCAACCCAATAAAAAAACAACAAAGAAGAATCAATAGCGAAAGAAGCGGTTTGGCCTTGACAGAAATGATTTGACAAGTTTTTCACAAGTATAACCAACATATTCAACTTTCTTCTCATCCCAATCTTTTATTTCCTAACATGTGTCCCTATTTAAGGGGAAATAAATAGACTTTCCAAGGGCATAAGATTTAAGAAGCAATGTTACAGCAAATTAATACAAGACCAAACATAAATGATCCTAATTGTGTGCTGTTACATTTCCAAGACAGCGTATGTACAATACAGTGTGCATGTGAGGGTGTTGATAAGAATGAAGCAAATGTGTTTCACTGCAATTTGTTTAACAACTGCACTAAAATTGACAACGCATGCAATAAAAAGACATTTTTTGCAAAGCAAACAGAATAAAAAACATTGTAATAAATAAAACAAGGTATGTCAAGTCTATATTAACGAAAGTGACAAATCAGACCGTTGTGAATTACAGAAACACAAAAAGGTGCACCGTCCTTTTCCTGCTAATCCTCAGTGACATAACACTGACAAATAACTCTGGCAGTTTATACAATAAGTTTCTCAGCTGTGTTTTGATGACACTGTGCCTTGTGGGTACACAGAAATCTAAGAGTCTGATATTAAACTCAAGCAACAAGGAGACAAATATGGCACTTAGCACAAAGACACTCATCTTACCTATTTCACGCAGTGAAGCTGTCTTATGAATAAAGGACTGAGAAATAAATAGCAATGGGAGATTTTGCCTGTAGCAGATGGTTTACTCTCTACCCTAAATGATTCATTTCACAGAGTTTGAAGGAGTTAATCAAAATTTTAAATCTTGCATGCCAAAGCATGCCCTCTGTCTTGCTTGTTTTCCCAGACAGATAAGACTGGGTGGCAGAAGGAAGAGTGGTATGTCTGGTAATGATCCGTTGCAGATAAGCATTGAGAAGTTTTCTGAGGAACCATGCTTCTGGGTGTTTTTTAGCTTTGCACATTGTTCACTTTCTGAGCAAATGGTTGGCTACTGCAGCCAATATGTGTTCTTGTTAAGGAAGAGATCCCACTGAAGAAATGCAAAGATACAACTATGACATGTTTTAGGATTTCAAGGCACAATTCCAGATATTTACCTACTCCTATAGATACCAATAAATATGGGATTTCACTGAGATTGTGCAGCTATTGTTCATAGAGTGTAATGCTTTTCTGGTCCTTGCAAGTCCAGGTGGGCGGGGCTAAGCGGCACAAGCTAGTCTTTTCAGGCATTAAAACCAACTGATATTTACCTATCACTGTGTCAATTTAAAGTGATTGCACTGGTATAGACATTGCATATTGTTTTGGCAAGTAAAGAGGTCATTACATATTTATTTGTTTAGATAATAGTAATATTAATTATGTGATATTACACTTATCCTGCTAAGAATGTAATGGGAATGCTACAACTACCAGATTTTAAACCTGAAATCAACAATATAATCACATGGTAAATATCCATGTGAAATAAAACTGATGATAATATAAAAGTTTATTAAATACTACACACACACTGGATTTCATTTTCTTTTGAAACTAGAGATGTTCAAGGTTGCAGAAATCCACTTTTATTTTGCCTCTCAGACTAGCATCTTGTCAATCATCCATTCATTATCTTTACCCGCTTCTTCCTTTCCAAGTCACAAGGGTCACTGTTTGCTCCCAGACACATGTTACACATGCACCAGCCAACAGAGAGAGCAAATTTTTATGTACAACTACATTGACATCTTTGTTCACACTTGACTTCCATCAGAGAATTTCAATTTTCTTAAGATCAGTCTTGCTCTGTGATGTTTCCACAGTTAGCCAGCTCCAGCCTGCCTGTCTCCTAGCCTCCCTGCCTGCTTGTAAGACTTGCTGTCAGCTGGTGAGATAGGAGCAAGAAACAGCTCTAAGCACCAGCCAGCATTGTGGGGACTGCCAACCTTTTCTCAGGGGAAATCACAGAAGCTTTAGTCAAATCACACGGGCACTTGGTGGGCCATTTTTCCATTTCCTTTGAAATGGGGGTGGGGAGGTAAAAACTATCTAGGTGGGGGACACAAAAGGTCAGAGACCCATGAGAAGGGAGGATGAGCTGTGTCATGTGACCTAATGCCTACCATTAGCAGAATATTAAAGTACCTGATGGGTAAATGGAGTTAAGTAGTGATTAGCAGTGAGGTGGGACTCAAGCAACCATCAAGGCACAGCTCCCACACCTGCCCACTGGCTCTGGGGATTGGGAACACGTCCCATGAGGATGTGCATGAGTTCAAATCAGAAAAGGTGTAGAGATCCGTTTTAATATCTCAATAATAGATTCTAATAATGTCATTTTGACATGAGTTACTGACATTGGGTACAAAAGCATTCAAAGTCAAATTATCTGTTCTTCAGGGGTAACCACAGTGAGCAAAGCTACATAAAAGATTTGGCAATGGTTTTAAGCTGAGTGCCCTCCCTGACACATCTTGGGCTTGAGTACACAGTCTGGGG